TTCTCTGCTGCGGCCCCAATCCTATGGAACGTCTTATCATATTAGAAGGAATGGAATGGAATGGAATAGAATAGAATAAAGGGAAGGGACCTTGGAGGTCTTCTAGTCTAACCCTATGCTCAAGCAGGAGACCCTACATCTTTCCAGACCAATAATTGTTCGATCTCTTCTTAAAAACCTCCAGTGTTGGAGCATCCACAACTTTGTTGTTCCACTAATTGTTCTGTCAGGAAATTCCTCCTTAGCTCCAGGTTGCCTCTCCCCTTGATCAGTTTCCACCCGTTGCTTCTTGTCCTGCCCTCGGGGGCTTTGGAGGGTGAGTTGACACCCCCCCCCCCTTCTTCCTTGTGGGAGTCCCTGGGGTGGCCTGCTCTGTCTTCACCTCCTGTAGGAATCTCTTTTTTTCCCCTCCTGCAGGTCTTGGAACCTTGCTATCATGTCACGCCTAGCCAGTGGTGGGATTCAAACATTTTTTTACTACCGGTTCAGTGGGCGTGGCTTGGTGGGCGTGGCAGGAGAAGGATACTGCAAAGTCCCCCTTCCCTCCCCACCCCACTGACCTGCTTTCCAGCTCCCTTCTCCTGTGCAGGGCAACCAAAGAAGACCCCGCCGATCAGCTGGGACTCAATGGGAGGGGGAGAAGAGATGGGGTTGGCGGGGTCTCTGAACGACTCAGATGTTCTGCTACCGGCTCTCCAGAACCGGTCCGAACCAGCTGAATCCCCACCTCTGCCCCTAGTCCTTCTTTTCACCAAACTAAGCATACTTCTTAATTCTGCCCTCCCCCGGCTGCAAATGGAATGATCTGAACATCTCACCGGAGTCCGTTTTGCACCACCCGATTCCGGCAGTTTCTCCAACAGGAACAGGCGTGGTTACACTCGAAAATTAGCGGAGGTTCAGCCGTGTTGAACTCTGGCAGCAGCCGTCCTTCCTGCGCCCGGAGGGAAATGGGAGGTTTTAGCCGAGCGTCTCAAGGGGGCACCTGAACTGGACATCGTCCATCCCCAAGCACAGGCAGTCCTTGACTTATGACAGTTGACTGAGGGATAGTTCGAAGTCACAGTGGCCCTGAAAAAAGGGACTTAATAATGACCAGGGGGCCATTTCTCAGCCTGACGGCCGCGGCACCATCCCCATGGTTACGTGATCAAAATTCAGGTGTTTGGCCCCTATTTATGACGACTGCCGATGTCCTGGGGCCTCATGCAGACTTTGTAAACTTCTCACTAGCAAAGTCAATGGGTGAGGCCCAATTCACTTAACAACCGTGGCAAGGATGTAAAATGAAGCAAAAATTTCCCTTAATAAATGTCTCGCTTAGGAACGGACATTTTGGGGGCTCAACTGCGGCCGTAAGTCGAGGACTACCTGTAAGAGCAAGGCCCCTGCCCCCCTCCCCCAGAGCAGGCCAAACGATGCAGCTGCAGGTTATTAATGGACATCATTTGGGCAACGGTGTCATCATGCAAACGGCTCAAATTGCACGACCGACATCCGTAACGGGCCGAAGGAGGCCAATCGATTTGTGCTTCTGCAGATGGTTGAGAAATGAGGGGCAGAGACGGCCAAATTGGCTGCTTTGGTCAAGGGGGAAAAAACCCCACAGAAACCCCGGAAACCACTTCTGGACTTTGTGCTTGAGGTGGGGGGGGGGGAAACGATGCTTTGATTTTGGGGTTTACCGATTAGATAGACACGGTGTTGCTGCAATGGTTAGATTAAACTACTATGTGTGACTTAAAGGTTGTGGTTGGATGCCATGAGCCTGTTCTACTACACCGAAGGGAGTTGGAAGTCAGTGCCTTTTCTTTCTTTCCCCCCTTCTTTTCTCCTCCCCCCCGCTTTTCCCTTCCCCCCATTTCCTCCTCCTTTTTGCTCTTGTATTTTGTTCGTATGTTATAGCGTAAATTAATAAAATTGCTATAAACATTTTTTTTTTAAAGAAAAGAAACGAGGGGCACAAACTCTACCCAAACAATCCACCCAATCAAGGTTGCAGGGCCCAAATATTTTACAAAAAAATAAAAATAAAAAATATCAAAGTTAACGTGGATGTTTTTCCCCAGCCCAGCTGATCGGTTCCTCCCCTCGGACGGCTTTCTCGCTGCTTAATTGCCTGGATTTTTTCCTCGAGATCTTCTCCAAGATTCTTCGGTCGCCAGGACAACAAATGGAAGTCGGCCCGGGTTCCCTGCACTCCGCTTCCCCCCCCCCCCGGAGAGGAGGGGCTGCGGGGTAGCCCAGCTGGAAGGGGGAGAGGAATGGTGTGGCCCCTAAACCTCCCGGGAGGAGAAGAGGGCCTTACCCGGTCATACCAGCAGCGCATACTCAGCTGTCCACACATGCACTTGCTGGAGGAACAGTCGTCTATGCACACGCAGTACTGAAAGCGAAGGAACAAGGAGCAAAGTTACTGGGGAGGAGGAGGAGGAGGAGGAGGCTGTGAGCTCTGCAATTCAGGCACAGGAGCAGAGCTGAACCAATGGGAAACTGTGATGGGGGGGAGATGCAGAAGAGAAGAAGAAAGAGAAGCAAAGAAGGAGGAAGGAGGAGAATGCAGAAGACAGAAGGAAGGAAGGAGGGAGAGAGAGGGGGGGGAGGGAGGGAAAGGAAGGACCCCCAGTTCCTGTCCCCAGCCTGCCACCTGCAAATGTGTGATGTTCCTGTCCACATTCATGGGCGAAGTCACGCAGTTCTGGGAAATGTACTTGTAGTTGACCGGGCAGGGCTCGCCGTCCACCGAATTGATGCAGGGAATCGGGATCCGCTCGTAACCCCGGGCGATGTCTCTGCCACCGCAGGGAGAAGAGAAGGAACGGCTTTAAGAGCGAGAAGCCGCCCAGGCCAGGGACAGGCACCTCCAATCCAGAGGCTCCGTTCTGGGCCGGCTTTCTGCCTTCTAAAGTCAGGAAAAAGGTCAAGGAGCCTCCAGGCCGCTCAGTCCAGAGGCTCAGACCTGCCCATTCATGCAGCCAGGTCCTTTGGGCAGCTCCTCACCCCAAACTGCTTGGAAGGACTTGGCCCCCCTTGGCCAGGGATGCTCCTGGCCTTTCCAAATCTCCCTTCCATGGGAGAGGCTCCCCTGCCCTGATCGGAGTGGGAACCCTAACAGCCCCATCATCCATCTCTCCTAAGAAGATGGGGGTCTCCTCTCCAAAATTGGGGGGAGGGGAGAGAGAATGGGGGGACAAGCGGGCAGTGCAACTTTCTCTTGCTTAAGGCAGGTGGTCACACCTGCTTAGTATCTTCTCCACCTGGGCGGGTTTCTCTGGAGCTGAGTCTTTCAGGGTCTTGTTCATCTGTAAAGTGACCCAGACTTGAGAGTTGAGGCTTGAACACTGCAGCGGAGTCTCGCCTTCCTTGTTTTTCAGGGCCACGTCGGAGCCGCGGGAGAGGAAGAGTCTGCAAGGAAAGGAGAAAGTCACCGGGAAAGGAAGGGACGGAGCTCGGACGCCTCTGGCTGGTGTCAGGCGTGGGAAATCGGGAGTCCAGGTGGTTCAAATGGGTAGGTAGGTTTATTGTATGCTGACGGGGTGCGCAGGACGCTGAGCTTGTCCGCTGGAAAGCTGACGACCCAGGTTTGAGACCCGAACGCTGTGTAATGGGTGAGTTCTCGTTCCTTACCTCAGCTCCTGCCCACCTAGCAGTTTGAAAGCACACAAACGCAAGTAGATTAATAGGTACCACTTTGTTGGGAAGGTAACAACGTTCTGTGTGCCTTTGGCGTATAGCCATGGTGGACACATGACCACAGGAGATGTCTTCGGACAATGCTCAGAAACAAGAGACGAGCCACGAGCCCCGGAATCGGATATGACTGGACAGGGAAACCTTTACCTGTATTCTCTCTACCGTAATCTGAACTATGAATGGTCCTCATCAGTCTCGAATCTCTTTGCGCCCACAAGAGACCTAAGTCCAGCCCGCCTTGAGCTCCGTCTTATCTGCCGCCAATTTGCTTTGACTGTTAGTTGTTCAGATTTTCATAGAGGGTTAGCACCCCATAAACCTGTGCCAATTTGAACCACTTTGGCTCCTGATTTTCCACGCTTGACGTGGCCTGAGGACCCTCCCGCCGCCTTGTTAACCTCCCGACCTCTGCATGTTTTATCTTTACTTGTAAAGTTTGGGCTCTGTGCATTTCTACCGTTTCATTAAACCGCCCAGAGGTGAGACGGACGATATAATTTAATTTGGAAATAAACCAACGAGGAGGGGAAGGGAAGGGAAGAAGCTACTCCCCGGGTTTCATACTTACACTACACACTCGTAGCGATTTTCCCGGGCTGCAATGTGCAACGGAGAATCTCCGTGAATGTTCACCGCGTGCAAGTCGCATTTAGCAGCCAGGAGAATCTCGGCGATGTCGACGCAGCCAGAGAAAGCAGCCCAGTGTAAACAGATATTCTGCTCCTGGAGGAGAGAGATTGGGGGGGGGGAGGTGGAAGAGGCCATCCAGACTGCCTGACACTTGTGGGGGGGGGGCCCCCCCCCTATTTTTAGGGCCCCCCCCCCCCCCTCCACAATCCGTGGGCTCCCAGTCGTTGGAAGGCAAGGCTTTCTGCCTCTCAAGGCAGGGAGATCCCGGCAACAGCCACCTCCACACTCCTGGAGAGGAGGGGGAGGACCCCAAGGACAGATGATTCATTTGTTTGCGAGGCACAGCAGGCTCAGGGTGCATCCATGGGGGAAATGCCACAGATGGCGGAGGGAAAGACTTCAGCGTTAGGGAAGCCCTTGGAGATCTCCAGATGACACATCCCTGGGGGGGGGGGGGGAGCAGCCTAAACAGATCGGGAGGGTGAGAAGAACAGGAGCCGGGGTGGGTTCCAGGCCAGGAGCTGCCTGTGGGCCACCGTTAAAAACACGCCGTTCTGCTTCTCCTCTTTCTCTCGAGCCCTGCAAGTTGCAAGAGCTGACCGCTTGGGAGGAGAAAGGATTTATTCCTGAGTGGAAGGATTCTCTCGCTTCTGGCTTTGCCTCAAGTTCAGCCTCCCACCTCCCTCTCACGTCTGGAGGGGGGGGGGGGGGGGGGGGGGGGGGGAAATAAGACAGGGCAAGAGCCTCTCTTGATTCCCCTTCCTTGAGTGAAATTGTAACCCTGGAGAACATCAAGGGAACTTTCCTTTCTCCGTCCCTCGGATCCCTCCAACAGCACAGGAGGAACCAAAGGTTGATCAGGACAAGCCCAAGCGCCGCCCACCTGCATTTCAACCACCAAGACCACTATTTTGAAGACGGCAAGAATGGAACGGGGGATGGAAATAGGAATAGGGAATAGGACAGGATAGAATAAGGGATGGAATAAGGAATAGAGGAGGAATAAACTATAGCTTTATGGTCCCTTTAAACGTACCCTAATCAGCATATATTAAAATGAAATTTCGTTGCATTCAGCTCTCAAAAGACCACCTTATCCCTGTACCCCCATGTTATCACACAGAGAAATATCACGGTCTAGTTCTGGTCTATACATATACATGGCCAAAAAAAGAGAAAAAAAATAGAATCCCGAGAATCCTTTACAAGATGGATGGCATAAGGAGCAAAGCTGTCACACAATCTAGTAGCCCTGCTACAGATACAGCAAAACCCACATTCTGGAGAGAGAAGGCAGCTGGCTTGAGAGGGGGGTCAAGGAGGCCGTCTACGTTAAAATGGAACAGCCCCCCCCCCCTCTCTCAACAGAGGGGGAGGGATACGACACCATTGATCTGTTGTTTACCACACAGTCCTTTCAGCAGTTTCAAGAAGACGCCACACCCAGTTACTATTCGCGTGACCCTCAGGGCAGAGATAAACCTCCAGGTGGCCTCAACGACTCTCAGAGAGAGCGCTAACGACCCGATGACTGTACAAGATATAGATCCTCCCATTCTCCACCATTCAGTCAAAACTGAAGAAGCCTCTTGGACGAGAAGCGAAACGTCTTCAATGAAAAACAAACCAAGTTTACTTGCCTTTTGGTGGGGTGGGAAAAGCAAATTTGGGACAACCGTGATTTGGACGACTGAGAACTTCCACAGATTCTGATGAAATCCAGGTTCTCTGCATCTAAGCCCGCTGGTCCCTCAAATGAGAGGTGCATCCGCCCCACCCAACTTACGTTATCTCGGATGTTGATGTCAGAGCCTTTGGCCAAGAGAAGCTTCACCAGCTCTACGTGCTTGTACTCCGTCGCCCATATCATCGGCGTCCAGCCTCCGTCATCCTGGGAAGAAAGGAATAAAACTTGAGCGGATGCCAAAGCCTGACAGGGCACTGCCTACCCTGCAAAGAGAATATTATGGCACCGGGGGTGGGGGGGATTGCAAGAGACTAGATGGAGGTCCTGACATTGTTTGTAGAAAACTAAAAAGCCCATCAGCTCTTTGTCGAGAAGGACATTCAGGTGCCAATCAAAGAAGACCAAAGTAAGAGGGATCCTTCTCTCATTAACTTTCTGATCAATAGGTGTGCGGTGGTTGATGGTCTCTGAGCTGGGTTGCTTTCGTGCAGGCGTTTCGTTACCAAACTAGGTAACATCATCAATGCAAAAGAGAGTGGGATTTGTGGAAAGAAGAGGAGGAGGAGGAGGAGGAGGAGGAAAAGGACTGTGGGGTCTCTGAGCTAGGATGTTTCCTTGCAGGCGTTTCATGACACAAACTAGGTAACATCATCAGTGCTAATAATGGAGTAGGGGTTGCTCTTATTTTATATGCCCTGTCAGATGTTGGTGGGAATGGACTTGGTGACTGCTTGATTGGGCTGCCGTTTTCTGCTAGCTTGCAGTTTCTTAGCTGGTGCACTGCTTGCTTCTCGATCTCTAGCTGCCTGGTGAGGTGTGTGTTGTGCCATCCATGGCAACCACTCTGCATACAGGCAGCCCATTTTCAGCCCAGCCCACGCTGTAAAAGAGCTCAGGAGGCCACACACAGGGGGCTGGGAAGTTGAGGATCGAACATGGCTGGCCAGCCCGTTCCTCTCCTGCAACCACACCAGGGTGTTTGTCATCGATTCTGGCGGAAAGGCCTAGAGAAGGCCAAACAGACAGAAGAAAGGGGGGGAGGGGAGAGGGAGGAGTGATGGGGGGGGAGGGGAGAGATGTCCTTTCGGTGACTCAGAGAACAACTTGAAATGGCTTGGTGGCAAGGCAACTGCGAGCATGAGGGAACGAGAAGGATGCGTGGGCTCTGTTAATTCTGGCTAGAACGGATCGCAGAACAGGGAGAGAAGGCAGGCTCTTCATCCCAGAAGACCTCCTGAAAGCCGGGCAATCAGGAAAGGATCGTGGGGGTTGGAGCCCCGGCCACCAGAACCCTATGGAACATCAGCTGTATGGGGATCCAGAAGTCGTAAGAACGGTTGCAGGATTTGGGTACGGCTAGTCTAATGAAGAGGACTGGGGTGCCATGATTGCAATCTTCGAATATCTACAACCCACGGTGGCGCAGTGGTCAGAGTGCGGTACTGCAGGCTCCTTCTGCTGAGTGCCAGCTGCCTGCAGTTTGGCAGTTCGAATCTCACCAGTCTCAAGGTTGACTCAGCCTCCCGTCCTTCCAAGGTGGGTCAAATGAGGACCCAGAGTGTTGGGGGAAAAGAGGCTGACTCTGTAGACCGCTTAGAGAGGGCTGTAGAAGCACTGTGAAGCGGTATATAGTCTAAGTGCTACTGCTATCTAAGGGGTTGCCCCAAAGAAGAGGAGGGGGTCGAGCTATTCCCCAAAACCCCTGAACAGAGGACAACAAGCAACGGGTGGAAACTAATCAAGGAGAGAAGCAACCTGGAACTAAGGAGGAATTTCCTGACAGTGAGGACAATTCATCAGTGGAACAACTTGACTCCAGAAGTTGTAAATGCTCCAACACTGGAAGTCTTGAAGAAAAGATTGGACAACCACTTGTCTCCAATGGTAGAGGGTCTCCTGCTTGAGCAGGGGGCCGGGCTGGAAGGTCTCCAGCTCTATTCAAAAGTCATGTTTTAGCGTTCTACCAAAAGAGGAACGGATGGCCAGACAAACGCTGGTCCCAGTCAGAAGCAAAGCCGCTCACTTGGCAGTTGACGTCCGTTTGTTCATTAGACAGGAGGTATTGCACCACGTTGTAGTGGCCCTTCTTCGCTGCCAGGTGCAAACAGGTGGATCCTTCAGCATCCTAAACCAAACACAGGTAATCAGGTGGAGATGTAAGTGGAACCAGGGCAGGGAGGTTTAGAAGGTGAGGAAAACCTCACCTCACCATGGATGGTGGGGTGATATAGATCAGCTCAGCAACCCTCTGGATTTGGGCCACATAATTTTGGGCTGGTCATCTAATGCTGGTTCAGCAATTTCACTGCTGTTCTGCTAAGCAGCAGGAGTGCTCTGTTGCTGCTTAACAATAGCATCTTTAGGATGCTGTCAATGCCATTTTTAGGAGAGTCAAGAGATCAAACTCCAAGCTCCTGACTCAACGGCACTAAGTGGCACACTGCAAAGCCATTTCAAACGCATTGGCTGCACATCCAAACTTTCATCTTTCTCCCTTCTGTCCTGGCTACTTTTTACAGAGGCACGATTGAGAGCATTTTATCAAACTGCATCCCTGTTTGGTTTGGTGGCCTCAGATAGAAAGTCCCTACGGAGAGTGGTGAGGACAGCGGAGAAGATTATAGGAAGCTCGCTTCCCGTTATTCGGGATGCTGCTGATAAGCGCTATGTGCTTAGAGCCCAAAGCATTGTTAGAGATCCAGCACACCCACTTCATGGTCTGCTTCTCTTGCTCTCCTCTGGGAGGGGGTTTCAAAGTATCTATAGCAGGACCACTAGATTCTGTAAAAGCTTTGTCCCTTAGGCCATTCGTCTTCTAAATTTGCAGGATTCTTCCCCACCCGCCCAACCCACCCCGCTATGCGTGTATATGTGGATATATGCATTATGGTTATCTTGTGAGAGCTGAGTGCATCAAATTTTCATTTTAATATATGCTGATCAGTGTCCATTTAAAGCGACAATAAAGTTTCTGTTTTATTCTCTTCTACTCTACTCTCTTTTATTTTGTTCTGTTCTGTTCCACTCCATTCCATTCTATCTTATAGTTTATTCTATATTCTATTCTGACATGTCCTGTTCATTCTCTTCTCTTCTCTTCTCTTCTCTTCTCTTCTCTTCTCTACTCTACTCTACTCTACTCTACATATAGTAGGAATTTAGGGCTGAACACTTACACCAACAGCAATGCAACTGTGAGATCTTCAATCCAACTGATGATTGAGTTCCTACTTGAGGCTAACCTGAAAAGTGTTTGGCCTGGTAGGTTCTGAGAATGCACCATTTTCTGGCTTGCAAACCAGAGTTTGCACCCAGGGTGGCTCCTTTGGAAACTAAGTTTAAGAAAACAAACCAAACCTTACCTTGGGGTCTACCAACGCTCCAGCCTTAATGAGGTATTTCACAGTTTCCAGATGGTTATTCTCTGCTGCTTCCATAAGGGGAGTCCTCTGGTCCTGAGAACAGGTGTCTATGTTAGCACCAGCCTGTGCAGAGGTACCGTGCGGACCCAGAAGGCAAAGAAAGAACCACAGTTAGCATTTATTTAATGCTGCCAACAGGCCAGTTGCTTAAACCTGACATTCTGGTCAGGTTGATGCCTCATGCTAGGATGCTGCTTTGTGGCTTAGTGATGTTATGCAGATGCTACCACCTGATACACACACACACACACACTTATGGGTTCTGGGGCTGCACAGAACCCATGACGACATTGCAATTGTGGAATTTTTCTCTTTTTTATCTCTTCTTTCGCTCCCCCCCCCCCCCCCCCCCCCCCCCAGAAGCCCAAGAGATGCAAAGCCTTCTCCGACCTCCACTCTTCCCTCCCAACAGGTCTACCCAGTAGGTCAGTCTAAGCCATCCTCGGGGAGCTTGGCAGCTGGCTGGGGATTCAAAGGCAGCTCTCCGTGGTCCTGATCTGAGACCCCAACCATGACATCACGCTGGCTGGAGCGAACCAACTCTGAACCGAGGGGCCCTTGGTGCTCTCTGAGCTTGCCTGTTTTCTCGCAGATGTTTCATGACCCCAACTAGGTAACATCATCAGTGCTAGTCCTGATGATGTTACCTAGTTCAGGTCACGAAAACAGACCTCTCATGTCAACCCCTGAGTTACAAATATTCTCCTTTATGAGTAAACTCTTAACTCTTTCAATCACAGACAAATTACGTTTTTTTCCCATGCAGAAAACCCAAAACAATCTACCTGATTCCACCCCAGCCTCCAACTTCCTCATCCTTTGAACCAATAGCCAAGACAAGGATTATGGATCTAGAGCAGGGGTCTTCCAACTTGACAGCTTTAAGACTTGTGGACTTCAATGCCCAGAATTCCTCCCCCAGTCAGGTTAGCTCGGGAACTTTGGGTGTTGAAGTCCACAAGTCTTAAACTTGCCAAGTTTTAGAGGAAGCTTAGAATCAGTCATGTGGATTGCTTTTAGAACAGACTCAGCATCTGCTTGATGAAATAAGCAGACACTCACTATCCCCAATTGATTTGGCTCTCTAGGAAGAGAAGGGAGCTAACCCTATCCTCTCCGGTCAGGAAATAACCTTTAAAGGAAGGGGGGGGGGGAAAGGGGAATTAAGGATGAACCTGAAGTAGCATGTGACAAATCTCCACGTGTCCCGATTCTGCGGCTGCATGAAGAGGCGTCCTCTTACTCTGGTGCTCCATTTTGAAGTTGGGATCAATCCCATCCACTGAGCAAAAAAAAAAAGGAGGGGGAAGACAAAACCCGTTTTCCTTTACAGGCAATCCTTGACTTATGACCGGTTGCTTAGCAACCGTTCGAAGCCCCCACTCCCAAGAAAGCCACTCGTGACCCTGAGGCTTCAAACTTCCAACAGCTGTAAAATTGGGTCAGATGTGGGAGGAGCCGCATAACAACCGGCATGATACACAACTGTAACTCCGGGCTCAATTGCAGTCGGAAGTCAGGGACTGCCTCCACTTATGGAGGGGGAACTTTCACGGAGGAACTAGAGAAGGGAGGGAAAGAGCAGAGGGGTCCCCTGGTTGCTAGTTCCAGCTGGTCCTCGGCTCAGGTGTTCTCTTGCAAAGTACCTTCCCCTTCTTGGTCTGGTCCAGCTTTCCTCAATCTAGAACCCAACAGATAAGGCTCGGAAGGCAACTTCTATCATTCCCCCATTGACACAGCCATGGGTTGGGCCGGATGACAACTATGACGGCTGTAATTCCACATAGGTAGAGGATACTGCATAGGAACACAGAATCATAGGATTGGAAGGGACCTACCATCATTCCGGGAGGCTTTCAAGAAGAGGTTGGACAACCCTTGGCCTGGAATGATGGGAGGTCTCCTGCTTCAACAGGTTGGATCAGAAGACCTCTGTCTTCCCATTCCATCTCCTGTTCAAGCAGGGAGATACCACTCCATCCCTATCCCATTCCAGACAAAGGGCTCTCCAACCTCTTCTTGAAACCCACAACCTCTGGAGAGAAGCCCTTCCACTGAGTCATTGTTCTCACTGTTTTAGGTTGGATCTTGACCGCCCCCCTACAAATCGAGAATCTCTACTAGTTGCAGTGTGTGTTGTTAAATGCTGCGGGGGTGGGGGGGGGGATTTTACTCACCCAACATAAGGAGAACCTTCTGGAGCTCCCCTTGCCTGGCTGAGAAGTACAGCTGCTTCGAGTGAAACCGTAATTTCTTCGGCCTGAGAAAGCAGAGGAAGAGACACTTTCAAATGGAAAGACGGGATTTTGTCATTTCCCCCCAAAGAATTTCACTCTGATTCCCACCAAGGAAGCGATGATTTTGGGCTGGCTTAGCTGGATGTGGTCAACTTAATCAGGGCAGTCTGGCGAAGGAGCCAACGCGGGAGATCCTGGCCCCTCCAGTCCTGGCGATGGAAGAGGAGCCCAACCCACTCGGGCTGCTCTTACTTTTCTGAATCCAGGGCGATCAGGGCGCTCTCCAAGGTTTCTTTAACAGGCCCTTGGGATAAACCAGCCGGAGGCGGCTTAGGGAACAGCGACGTCCCAGCCAAATCGAACATCTCGCTGGACAAGTTCTCAGTTCTCACTTCTTCAGGTTGCTGGGTTGCAGGCCCACTGAAACTGAACCCAAGACAACAAAGCCCAAGTGTCAAGCAACACATGTCTTTTTGCTAAGCGGAGCAGTCCTTAAGTGGGAAATCACGTGACCGCAACTCTACTTTCCAACTGGAAAGATACAAGTTTCACCCAGTTTCACGCTTCCGTTTTTTGTTTGCCTCCCCACCACACCGCCACCCTTTGAGGGCCTGCTTACTGTCTTCTACACGTTATACTGGCAGCCTGGGACCACAGGGGCCCTACGCGAACAGCTCGGCTTCTTGAAATCCCTTTCTCTCCAATCTCTCCCTCTGCAAGCTGGGCTGGGGGAACCGAAGCAAACCATTTCTGTAGGCCAACTTTCCTTCCCTGCTGCTGGGGCAACTGCACTGCTCCCAATGTGTAGAAAAACAAGCCGCTTACTCTCTTGAAACCCCTTCCCAGTTTCTCTGTTCTGCACTGTGAAGGGGAGGAATCAGACAAAGGAGAGATGGCCTACAAAAATCGCACCCTTCACCCCATGCACACAGTGGAGACCCAAGAGATTTCAAGATAATACTGCAGGCTGTTTGCGTAGGGTGTGTGTGGCTCCCAGGCCCAGACTTCCCAACGCGATCCCATTGCTTTTGATGCGAAGAAGAGCAGCAGCAAACAGGTTGTTTTCTTGCAATCCTTTTCTCTCCAATCAATCTGCTCTGCAAGGGAAGGGAGGGAGGGGCAGATCAAACAAGGGAGGAAAAGCTGCGACTTGCCTTCCAGTGGTCGTGTCAGCCTTTCCTTCGAAAGCACCTGGTTTCGCCTGCTCCAAGGTCAGCAGCAGGGTGGAAGTGGTGTCCGCCTTGGCCACTGTGACCTCCTTTGCCTTGGAGGCCTCCTCCCCACAGTGGGGGCAGTAGCTCGTGCCTTGGACGTGGGAAGTGCAGTCCCGGTGGAACCGGTGAGAGACGCTGCTTTCCGGCTGGCACTCCATGAAAGTGCCCTGGGAGGAACCGCAAAGGGCAAAAGAAATCAATACAGACATCAACTTAACGACCAGCATTTTGTGGCTAAGCCAGACATTTGTTAGGGTGAGTTTGGCCCCGCTTTCACAACTTTTCTCAGCCCCGCGGCAGTGAAGGGAACTGCCACGGTTGTTAAATTAGCCCCGTGGCAGGTAAGCAGACTTGGCTTCCCCCGGGGGGGGGACTTGGTAGGCAAAAGAGGATCACGTAAGACACACACCCCCCCCCCCCCGGGGGACTCTGCGACCGTTCATAAATGTGAGTCAGTCACCAAGAGGGTGAATTCCGATCACGTGACCACAGGGGGATGCCGCGACGTTAAGTGTGAAAAACAGCCGCAAGTTGCTCTTCACCAGGGCCGTTTTAACTTAGAACACTAAATGAACGCTGGTTTAGTCCAGGACTGCCGGGTGCAGAGGCTAGAGAACATCGCCCGGGGAAGTGACAAAATGTCAACTCATAAAACATTTCTATGGTCTTTTTAGAGTTGCCAACAGAAGGGGGGGGGGGGGGGGGGGGGGGGGGGGGAGAGAGAAGGGGTTTGAAAGAGCAGCGCGGCAGCTTGGAAATTGAACGGGCATTCCATACATAGTTTTTCGAAGATGACTGAAGTTTCTGCCCCGCAAATATCTAACTGGAGAACACGATTGATGACTCTGGGCTATGGACACGTCTCAGGGAGCGTGGGGGGAAAACCAGGGTCAAAGGTGACAGTGATTGATGTGTCTCAGAGTCAACGTGGAACTCGAGAGGCTCAGGATTTCATTGGGGGGGAAACTGCCGGAATCCTGACGGGTCTCACATTAGGGGCTGAGGAGGGAGATGGGGAAAGAGGGAGGGCTGGCAGGACGACTCGAGGGGGAGAAGGAACGGGCATTCCAAGGGTGTCCATCCCAAACTGCATAGCTCAAAGTCTGTGGAGATTCTCCGTCCTCCAGGTAACGTTATTAGTCCTGATCTGCAAGAAAACAACGGAGCTCAGAGAGCACCCAGAATCCTTAGTTTCTTGGGGGGTTTTCCCCCTTGAAAACGTTTCGCTTCTTGTCCAAGAAGAACATTTTCAAGGAAAAAAACTGGACCAAGAAAGTCCAGTTGCCTTTTGGAAAAGCACCTTTGGGACAAACGTGACCTGGATGACAGAGCGGATCTCCTGGTCTTTGACTGTAAGAAACGTTGACTGGACTTGAGGCCAGAGAATCTCCCAGGATGCCCTCCTGGAACGGGGCAGAAAAGGCACAGCCCTGCAGTCCGGCCCTCCTAATACACTATGGCATCACTATGGCCGAGAGGAAGAATGTATTTGAAAAGGGAAGAAATAAAAGAGACAACCAGGAAGAGGCAGAGCCTCCATTTTCTGACTCCTAACTCAAGCCTGGGATTCCTGTGGGACCCACGTTCCAACTTTGGAAGGCCAACTCTGCCTGCATCGTCGTCCCTGACCGAAGGGCTCAGGGGCCTTCTTTGAAGGGAAGACTGGCTTCCACGGGGCTTTGGGGCCTCAAAGCCAGCCTCCGCTCGGCCTGCCTACGTTCCAGGGTTTATTTCTTTATTTTATCTGTTGCCCAAATAAAGAGGGAGCCCAGGGGGCCGCTGCCTCTGGGGGAAGAGGCAAGAGTGCCATCCAGCCTCCCTTGCCATGCTTACCGCCACGCAAAAGAAGCCGCAACCAGGGCAGCACTGATGTTTCACCATCCTCCCTCTGTGGTCCTCGCACAACACCAAGAGCTGGACTTTGTTCGACGCGCGCATCAGCTCGTACTTCAGCACGCGGTTGGTGCATCGACTCAGCTGAGGGTGGGGAGGGGAGAGGAGAGGAGAGGAGGGAGGGAAGAGAGATTTCTGGCTAGTGTGCACATGGACGGACGCACGAGAGAGCACCGCATGAATGCCTTCTCCCATGTTCGTTGAGCATTGGGAGTTATTTTTCACACGGCCAGCAAGCTGCAAGTCCCCCGAGACTATTTGATACCCAGACAGCGATGCGTTTGGGGGGGGGGGGGGGGGGGGTGTTCCACCATCCATGGATGTCACATCTCTGCCTCTCGCTTGGGTATCGGATGGAAGAGCGAGCCTCACGAAGAGTAACTTAGCCTCACTGAAGTGCAAAAAGCCCCCCCCCCCTCTCTCTCACACACACACACACACAATGGATTGGAAAAGAGTGGTTTTTGCTGAGATTTCATATCAAAATTTTGCTTGGCTTTGTTTGAGAAACACCTGTTTCTGTTTCCTCTATTTTCTTTTCTCCTTCATTTCCTTCCTTGCCTTCCTTCCTGTTTCTGTCTGTTACTTTCCCTTCCTTCCTTCCTTCCTTCCTGTTTGTTTGTTCCTTTTACTTCTTTCCTTTCCTACTTCCTTCCTTCCATTCTTTCCTTTCCTTCTTTTCCTTCCCTTTCCTTGTGAACTCAGCCCATCCACCAGGGGATTCTCAGCGCCAGGGGAACCCCACACCACCGCAACTCGCCCACTCTGAAAGCCACCCCTCAGAAGACAAACATGAACTTCAAGACGAGCAATCAGAAGGGAAGGCTTTTTTGGGAAGCGCCGGATCGACTCGGGTATCTCACAGGTAAACCTACTTCCTAAGCCCCAGCACAGGAGCTTAAGGGCTAGATAGAAGCAGAGGCTCAGGGGCCCAAGGCAAGACTGAAGGGGTCTGCAGGAGTGACAAAGGTGCTTTTCCCAAGAGGCAACTGGACTTGTGGGCAACCATGACCTGGATGGCTGAGGATCTCCACAGGCGTGTCTGTAGGAGATAACCAACCCGAGGGAGGAGTCAAGTATGTCATTAGTCTCAAGTCTGTTTGCACCCACAAGAGAACCAAGCCCAACCCACCTTGAGTTCTGCTGATTCGTATCTATCTCCAAGTTGCTTGGACCATCCCATCAAGTCCAGATTCTTACAGAGAGTGTTAGCATGCTGTGACCTCCCTTCGTTTGAACCGCTCCAGAGTTCCTAAATGTGTCCGTCTCCTTAAGATGCGCAGGTGAACCAGACAGACAACAGTCTCCCACAAGTAGCAGTCGAAGAGGAGGAGGAGACATAAAGGGGCCTTACCTCCTTATCTACACTCTCCGTGGCCATGCACTGGTTGTTGGCTAGCGTGGTGATCTCCCGGCTTTTTGGAGTTTCCATCCGGCAGCTGCAGAGAGGCACTTCTTGAAGACCGTCTGTTTCCATTGCCCCAGAACCATTAGAAAGACCTGCAGGAAGAGGAAGAACAAGAAAAAAGCTGTTTCCGTTGCTCTGGGAGCAGGAGGAGGAGGAGGAGGAGGAGAAAGCTGTTTCCATTGCTCCGGGAGCATCAGAAAGACCTGCAGGAGAAAAAACGAAAGGGACAAGGGATTCCTACAGAAGGTGAAGACAGAGCAAGCCACCCCAAGGGACAAAGAAGAGGGGCGGGGTCAGCCCGTTCTCCAAAGCACCTGAAGGCAGGTCAAGAAGCAACGGATGGAGACAAATCATGGAGAGAAGCAACCTGGAGCTAAGGAGAACCGCCTCAGTTCGAAGAATTAATCGTTGGGACGGTTTGCCTCCAGCAGTTGCGGCTGCTCCATCACGGGAGGTTTCCAAGAAGAGACTGGAAATGGTATTGGGTTTCCTCTCAAGCAAGGGGTTGGACTAGAAGACCTCCAAGGTCCAAGAATAACAACACTGTGCTTCTCTTGAGTAACCATGTCCCCGGGTTAAGGGCGAAGACGGAAGGGGAAGGGGTGGCTTTATTTGGAGAATGGTGGGGTTGTGGGACATCCACGCTGCCTTCCTAGCCAAGTGTGCCTGTCAGAAGAACAGCTGCAGAGGAAAAAGGAAGGGCCCTTGGGTGGCACCTGCAGATCCTTTAAAGGAAGAAGGGCCCATTGGCTCCACATTCGGAGGTTCTGATTTAGCCTGGCCGTCCTCCAGCAGTTCGGAGATTAGAATTGTTCGCCACCTGTCAGCGTTCCAAAGAAACTTCCCATTTCCATTCAGCACTCAGAGACAAAGCCCATCCAAGTGAGAATTTATTAAAGAAGGCACATCTGGGGAAACTTGGAACCTGAAACTTCCGGCTTTTCCCTTCCCCAAGTGAAAATCCAAGACCCACCCCATGGCCCAGTCAAGCGCCCGTCCTCTCCGAAGCCAAACCTTTCCCCCACCCCCATCCAGGCCTGTATTGGAGCCACACATCTGCAGCCTTCCAGAGGGGACAGAAGGAGGCCACCTTTGGATTTCAGCCCAGGTATCGGAGCCAGGCTGGGTGTTTGGCTGTTCAGAAACCCCGGGGGCTGCTCAGAAGGGTGGAACCCGTCGACTGTTTCTTGAGCTAGATCCCCAAGGTGGGTGGGTGGGTGGCAGCTTCTCAAACTCTGCCTGGCCAAAGCTCCAACAAGCGGGAAGGGAGCGAAGGGACTAAGGCCCCGGGGGCCTCTGGAGGGCCTCCTGCCAGCAGGACAGGGCAAGGTCAGAAGCTACGGCGCCTTGGGAAATAAAGTCTCTGTTGGACCAGCCAGACGAGGTTCCCCGGGTTGAGCAACACTGTGGATCTGCTCCCTCGGATAAAGCAAACAGGCCTCCCAGGAAGAAGCTTGCGGAAGTTCGTGGGACCTGAGCTCTGTTGGGCAAGGCGGCCCATTCCTGGACAGCAGGGAAGCCAAGACAGAAGGAACCCAGAGCTGGAACTGAGTGGCTCTGCAGCATCCAGGCCCACCCTAGTCAATCAGAACCCCCACAGAGCTGGGAGGGGCCTCGGAGGTCTTCTAGTCCAACCTCCTGCTCAAGCAGGGAGACCCCATAGCATTTCAGACAGGGGGCTGCCCCCTTTCTGTCCTTCCTTCCTTCCAAGAGCCTCCAGTGATGGAGCTCCCTCAACTTCTGGAGGCAGGCAACCATTAAATGCCTTGAGGGTCCTTCCCAACAGATCATCTGCCGCCCCACCTCCCTCTTTTCTCCCGAGGCCGAGGGAATCTTACTCCTCGCCCCAACTGCTGGATCCATTGTGTGACACACACACACACACACACCCCATCTCTCTTTACAAGGGCCGCCAGTCTGCTCTCCTTCTCCTGCTAAGCGGCCACCAGGGGGCATCGTCTTAATAAAGAGAAATGAATTCCAAGAAAACAAAGATCCAAAATGGTACATGGCCATATTTAGACAACTCACCTTCTGATGGCGAAGACAGCGCCTCCTTCACCCGCAGATCCAAGGAATGCAGAGGCACCTCCAGGTACTCCATGCTGCTCTCCTGCCCAGCTCCTTCCTCGCTCCCCGAAGGGGGCTTGTAAGAGTCAGGACCTGGGTTGGAAAGGCACGTCGGTTGAGAATGCCAGGGAAGAAGCATGCATGTGCCTCGCTCTCGTGAAAGGCCACATTCATCGCTTTCACAGGCAGTGGGCAGGCTACGCCCGCCGAAGGATCGGTAAATGCAGATGCGGAGCAGGGAACAATCAAGAGGCAACCCCTGGGCCCACTGATCTCTGGGGCCGACCTCCTACTTCGCGTGGATCTTCTCCTGTTGCACGGTGGGAAAGTTCTTAGTGACCAGGAAGGTTAAGCTTCAAGGGGGGGTAGCTTCCCTTCCGAGGAAGGAAGGAAGGAAATGAGAAGGAAGAGAAAGAGAAAGAAGAAAGGAGGGAAGGGAGGGAAGAGGAAGAGGAAGAGGAAGGAAAAGAAAGAGAAAGGAAGGAAGGAAGGGAAAGAAGGATGGAAAGGAGGGAGGGAAGAGAGAAAGAAAGAGAAAGAGAGAGGAAGAGGAAGGGAGGGAGGGAAAAGAAGAAAGGGTGGGGGGGGGGAGAGGAAGGAAGGATGGGAGGGAAGGAGGGAGGGAAGAGAAAGAAAAAAAGAAAGAAGAGGAAGGAAGGAAGAGAAGGATGGATGGGAGGGAAGAGGAAGAGAAAGAGGAAAAGGAAGAGGGAGGGAGGGAGCTGGTTTCCTCTTGGCTCACCCTACTCAGATGCCAAAAGCCTGGGACAGCCCAAGCCAGACCAGACTAGCCAATCCTTCCTGGAGCCGAAGGCACCAGGGACTCTGCGGCAGGCCAATCCTAGCCTCCCTCTTCAGCAAGGCAGAGCCTACTAATCAAAACCAACGTGTGGGAAACCAGTTCAGGCTTCTTCTCCACTTGCACTCCCATCTCCCTCACACGCAGATTCCAACACACACACACACACACACAGACACAGGGCCCTTCACCTCCCCTGCCCCATGGGGAACAAGCAAAGGGCACCCAAGGGCCAGCCGAGTGGTTTCCATGCCCCTGTCATTGGGCCCTTCTTTCTGCCCCATCCTGCTGCCACTGGGCCGAAAATCCCCACGATTTCGGTGAAACCAAGGGCACAATTATCACTCTTCCAAAAAATAAAAGTATACTTTAGCAACCAGGGAGGGCAAGAGAGGCTGAACAAACGGCAAGGGGTCAGGAACCAGAGTTTAGAGAGCAAGAAAGCCTCTAGCGGGAGCCGTAGTCCAGAATCGTCTCAGAGACCACAAGTTTCTCCTGGAGGAAGAATGAGCAAAAGCACCAGCATCTCATCTCGGAACGAGAACTTCCAAGATTGAGGACAACCCAACCCAACCCAACCCAACTGGTCGCTTCTCCCATCAACACAGCTACAGAAATATCGACGGGCGCAGCTCAGAGGTGGGATTCAGCCGGTTCGGACCAGTTCTGGAGAACCGGTAACAGAAATTTTGGGTCGTTTGGAGAACCAGCCAATCCCACCTCTGACTGGCCCCGCCAACCCCATCTCTTCTCCACCTCCCATTGAGTCTCTGCTGATCGGCTGGTTCTCCTTTGGTTGCCCTGCACAGGAGAACGGAGCTGGAAAGCAGGTTAGTGGGGTGGGGAAGGTATGGGGATTTTGCAGTATATCCTTCTTCCCCTGCCACGCCCACCAAGCCACGCCCACAGATCCCATAGACCAAGCGACCAAAATGGGCCAATCTCTGACTCGCAGAAGAGAAGCTATCTCGCTACAAGCCAAGATTGGAGGAGATTGGTATGCTCCAGACGTTCTGCCAACCAGCATCTCCACACCTATCCTCCTGGAGGCCTTCATCATCCACCCTCTTTCCTTGGGGTAAAGAAGCACTTTAGTAGTGGTAGTAGTGATGATGATGATGAGGAGGAGGATAACAACAACAATAGCAGCAGTCCAACTCTGTTACCTATTAAGTTGGTTTTTTTCTTTTTATTTCTCCGCCTCCGTTTGCGGGTGGGTTTCAACCAGGGGCTCTCCGTTTTCCCTTTCCGCTTCATCATTTTCTTCTTGAGGCTGGATTCGGAGCTCTGCAAAAACCACCAGAACCGTCTGCTTTAGGAGAAGGGAGGCCTGGCCTGCCATGGTTACGGTGGTCCCGGTTTCAACCCCGCCCCCCCACACCCCATGCCCCCTTTTCTTGAAAGTGGCGAGGACCAGAGGAGCACAGTTGAGTGGCATTTAGCAACAAAGCTGCTCTCGGAAAAGATCACGTAATAGACGGCGGAGGCCAAGGAGTCAGGCCTGGTACGCTGCAGGAGGAAAGTGCGGGGGGGTGGGGAGATAATAATGGCCCCGTTTTCTTTCAACGGGTGGCTGTCCAGCTTTCCCCACAAGCAGAGTAGGACAGAAAACAAAAAGGAAGGAAGGAAGGAAGGAAGGAAGGAAGGAAGGAAGGAAGGAAGG